ACTTAACAAATAATCCATTTTTATATTCTTAAATTTCATTAATTTAAAATACAATCAAAGTTTTTGGTACATACTTAAGTTTGCGCCAGTAAACAAATAAAATAATCAAATTCAAAATACAAGAAAAAAAATCAAATCGTCCTAATAGCCCGTTGGTCTACACCCAAAAAATATTTCATCTAATGACTTCTTTGTCATCGATCACCTTATGCAATAGCTAGCTACTTATATCAATCAAAATTCTCAAGTATATGTTACCTTATCTAGTATAGACCAAACATCAAGAAACTACACTACAAGAAATTCAGGTATTACCGACTACAAACCTCAGAGGAACCTCCAGAAAAAATTGTCAGTAATGTTTGAATTTTCTGTAGTATTAAATTATAACTATAAAAATCATTATATTTGCAAGTAATAAGGCAATAGAATTAGTAACATGATAATGACATAATGAAAACAAGATAATATTGAAGGCCTTTCAACCTTAAATTAATAATGTGGTGATAAATGATAGCTCTGAGGTATTAGAGACGTCTATATAATCATGATATCACCATGATCATTAATTAATCTTTTCCCAGAATGTAACGTCCTCATAAGACCATGCTTCAAGGCCATCAAACCCCTCTCTCTAAGCACTTGCTAGTTAAATAAACATCGCTTTTATACTTATTCCTCTATACATCTTATTTGATTGCATCAACCTTTAATTTTGATCTCCATCATATTGCAAGCCACTACATACATGATACAACTACTTCATATTCATGAGCACTATCTTCGTGTGCTTCTTGCACCTTTATTGTCTTTGCTCGAAATCACATCATAGCCTTCTTTGTCTCATTTCACTATTAAGACTTCGTTTGAGACTGACTATCTTCAAAGAAGTCATTCTAGAAAATAATAAAAAAAGTCTCAAATGAAACCTAAATCTATATTAAAAATCTGCCTATCTTCAATTGCCTCCTCTACAAAATCAAGAATGATCATCACTCTTATGAGTGATTTGTATGTGTTTCTCGAAAATTTTACTTTTGAGCAACCTGAATGATAGCTGCTTAGCACTCTAGTTAGCTGCATGTGATCAAGCTTCACTCCATGAAGCCACCTCATTATGGCATGCGGCTATATTGAGTTGTTATTATAACTTTGATGCATCAAAAGAACAATGAAGTGTGTTAGAAATAAGTTTTGATACGGCATCACAAAATTAGCTTGATCGGGCATGAATCTCGAGGCAAAAAGCTAGTTAAAAACTTCAAAAATTAAAATCAAAAGCACCCGAACTCCGATTTCAGCAAGCTTATAGTCAAACTGAGCGTCTCGGAAATACGAACCCAACGACACCAAGTTCAACCCAATCCGAGCCCAAATGAGTATGAATCAAGAACTCGAAGTGCTGTTGGAAGGTTCAAACCGCAATTTGAGTTACCAAACGGTCTCCGATTTTAATGAGCTTATACTCGAATCGACCGTCTCAACAAGACGAATCCAACGAGCCCAAGATCGCCAAATTCTGACATCATTAAGGCCTCCAAATGTCCAACAAACGGTGCACGATCGAAGGGTTCAATATCGGCCGTCCATTCAAACCACTCCCTATTCGCCCATGATCTCACACCTATTTACGAGCCACGCCACTCCAGAAAAAGTGAAAAACTATAAATAGAGCCCTCATTCCTCACAAAGGGGGGACTCAAGTGAAGAGAGAGAAGAAGAAGAGAAGAAGGAAGAGAAGGAAGAAGCTCCTCCTCGACCACCGCCGGAGCTCTTCCCGCCGCCAGAAGACGCCGGAGCTCTGCCAGATTTTCGGAAAATGCCGGGAATTTGCAGAACCTTGTAAACTTGCTTGAAGAAATGAATTGTAATCTGATTGCCCTGACTTGTTGGACGAATCAACCATTTGTAATTTGCAAAACACTAGTGGAATTTTCAACTGGGTGAGGCCCGTGGTTTTTTCCCTTTTTGGGTTTTTCACGTAAAAATTTTGGTGTTCGTATTCTCTTTTCTGTTTGTGTGCTGAATACTCGTACAACGCTCGGACACGAATTTACAAACTCTACCGCCGCGTATATTCTAGCACGCAACAAGTTTATTTATGGAATACAAAAGATATAGATTAAAAATCACATGCATGAGTTTCAAAAATCTAAATATCCTTTATAGAATTATTATTATAAATTTATTGTTGTGTATCACCATGATTAGGAGTAGATCATTCATGCAATTTTATTTGAGATATAATTTGCCTATACATGACTGAATAGTTTTATTACAAGTTCTAGATAATGTGGTTGTAGACGCATACAATTATCCATTTGAATTTGATGAAAAGATCAAATCTTATCAATAATAATATGATTGTTATTACTTTCCACAATCTCTCTCTTTCTCTCTCCTTTGAGCTATTTGATGTTTTGAACAGTAAAAAATTAATTTGTACTCCATTCTAATAATAAAATTATTTTATTTGCACTTGTTACGAATTTTTATTCATATTATTAATACAATATGAACATACATCAATTCCACAAGCTATTTTACTATGGTTTATTAATTCAACTCTTCATGAGAAGAGTTTTCTTCTTGTATGAAGGAATTGATATGAGAAATAGTACTATTTTACAATTTCTTATTTTTTTATAATTCTTAATTATTAGATGAATTTATATAATGATTGTGAATGACATAATACACATGAATATATGAGTAATATAGTATGAGATTCAAAATCCCGGCATTATTTTATATCTCAAACAATAATATTTCTCTAATTAATAAAATCTATATTTTTCAAGATTAAAAAATAATTAAAACCAAAATTTGACATTAACAGAATAAAAATTATGAAAATCATTAAAATTCAAGCTTTTACTGTGAGCCTTAGTTCAATTCATATAACCTCCTTCATTCAAGAGTTAATGTGTAGCCCTGTGGTTTAGGATAAGAGCCCCTTTGAGATTATTTTTGTCTTTTATTTTGAGAAGCTTTTGAAAAGCAAATTTGTTAGTGTATATATATAATAAATAATTTTAACAACCTTCAAATAACAATTTTGAGATATTTTAAATATTTTTGAAATAAATCATTATTATTGTCGATTACCACCATAATCGCCTCGTTGTTCATTGCTACTATCCCTTAACAACCGTTAACATTATTGTATAAATCAACTTATTTTATATTTAATAAAAAATCATTTTAAAATACAAATTATATTTTATTTTATATTAAAATATAAATAAAAAAGAAAAGTTGATATTGAACTGTCTAATTTAAATTGGTGAGATCGAGGCATTTATTAAAATTGATTATTTAAAAAAAATGGCTCATAAAATGCCCTCATTCAACGTCTATGGTGGCAGTTAATATTTCAGTTTGAATTCAAGATACTTGACCAACCCTAAAGAAAGATATTTATTTGAAATCATTCAATTTTTAATTTTTAATTTGGTTAATATTTTTAATTTTTTTTCTCTTTTAAAATTATCTAATGATTTCTCTTTAAATACTGAAAATATATTTTTTTTAAATAAAGACCTCGCTAGTCATTGCCTGACGCTGATTATCAATGCCAGCCACCGAGCAATGTCATCTTCAACCACTCAACAACTTTCTCTCATACAACATTCAATTAAAATAAAAATAAGGCTCAAAATCAATTATATTTTAATTTTGGGATTTTTACATACATAACATCTAAAACTATTGAAAATACATATCTAACACATAAACATTAATATTTACTTATCTACCACCTAAAACCCCTTCCTCTCATCTATACTACCACTTCGTCATAGCGTCACCTACCGTAAAAAAGGATCACAATATGGACAGCAGGAAACATAGAGAGAGAGAGAGAGAGAGAGCTCATTAACTCACGCTCTAGTTCTTCGACCTTAAGTTTGCCAACCCCGAAACTCCGGTGACGGTTGGGAAGAAAACTCCAGTGACAGTCAGGAAGAAACTTCGGTGATGGTCTGGAAGAAATTTTGGCTACAGTCGGGAAGAAACTTTGGCGACGATCATGAAGAAATTATGGCGACCACCAGGAAGAAATCTAGCAATGGTCAAGAAGAAACTCCGCGATGACCGGGAAGAAACTCTTATGGTGGTCGATGGCAAGTCAACTTCCAACTTCTTCCCTTCTTAATGATATCAAAATTCGGCGAGCTTGGGCTTGTTGTATTCATCTTGTCGAGTCGCTCGATTTGACTATAAGCATGTCATGTTTGGAATTCGTTTAGTCATCTAAATTATGCTTTGAACCCTCTAAATATGCTTTGGACCTTTGATTTGGGTTCATTTGGATTTAGATTTGACTGATTTTGGTGTCGTTGTGTTCGTCTTCCCGAGACCTTCAGTTCTACTATAAATTTGTTGAAACAGAGTTCGGGTAATCCCAAATTTAATTTTGAAACCTTACCCCTCAATTTTGCTTCGAGATTCGTCCTCGATCAAGATAATTTTTGGATGATTAAACGGATCTCAAACTTATGCTTTATTTTAATACGTTAAAAAAAAAAAAAAATCAAAACCCGAGGCTAGAGAAAACCAGCGAACAGTTGGAGGCTGGCTCATGGTTTTGATAAATCCACATCTCGTGTATCCGCGGGCTACCTCATTTATTTAATAATAAGCAAATGAATTTGGTCCCACACTCGGACTTGGATCCTAGTATCAGAGCAACCAGACAAACGTTAGTTTATTTTCTCTTTAATTTTCGTCGCTATCCCATAATATCTGGTCAGGCAGCCACTGGTTTTAAGCTAAAACCATGGTAACTTGAAACCAGCTGCCAACTATCAAAACCGCGAACAACTTTATCCTGCTCTATTTTTGCCTTGTCGGCTTGCTCTATAAATCAATTGCTCATCTTCCCTTCTTCCCATCATTCACAAGATAGCAAAGCGCACAACAACGGTCTTCTTCTTCTTCAATCAAAAAATAAATAAGCGAGCAACGACAGTCTTCTTCTTCCTCCTCTTTTTACTCAAAACCACAAAAATTCTATTATTTTCCACAAACCAACCAAGAGATAAGCAGCCATGGCCTCAGGGAGCAGAGCATCTTTGATTGTGGCAGCGAGCATCAGCGCGGTGGAAGCGTTAAAGGATCAAAGCGGCCTTTGCAGATGGAACTATGCGATCAGGTCTGTGCAGCAAAAGGCCAGAAAAGAGATGGGTTCTCTTTCACAGGCAACAAAAGCCCCTTCTTCTTCTTCTTCCATGATGGCTGGAAGCATTGTAGTAAGCACCAGAGGAGAGCAAGTTAAGAGAGCAGAGGAATCCTTTAGAAACGTCATGTTCTTGAGCTGCTGGGGTCCAAATTAGGATGTATTACAAGGATCGATCACGAGAAATTGTATAGAATCCAATTATCATCAATAAATGGAGATTTTGGTATTTTTTTTAGACTTTGGTGTACTTATTATGTTAAATAAAACTATGTATCTCATCTCTGATGAAAACTGGGGCTCCCTTCGCCGTAGAGAAGTATTTCAGATCAGTCTTTGCAAGGTAAATACTGAGTTGCAACTTACAGCTGAAGTTTTCCCACTCAATGAGGCTCACAACACGAATTTTTTTAATTATAAATTTTTGTTTTAAAAAGCTGTTTTATAAAACATTTTTCTAACAAATATTTTGAAGACAACTCACAAAATCATTCTACAATTTTGACAACTCACAAAAGCATCCTACAAAATCTGCAAGTTATACAAACACGCACACACGTTTAAGTCAATCATATAATAATAAAACTCGATAAAACATAGGAAATTTTTTTAACACGTAAGCATCACTGGGAATGTAATTATCTGATTAAGCACCTTTAAAAAAATTAAAACTAGAAATTGAAGATATTCATGTAATAATAAGTTTGATGTTTTTTTTTTTTTAAATTAGATTGAAGATATAATTCAATGGGGGACTTGTTTTATATATTTATTTATTTATAGTGTTGGAGCATTCATGGTGAGAGAGAGAGAGTTTAATGTCATAGTTTTATAAGAAGATTCATCATACACTCAAATAAGAGGGAAGTACAAGAATTCTAAAAGACACTAGAATTTATCATAATTGAAAAACCCAAGAAAGGAAAAGTTATAGAGCTTGACCCAATGAAAATAATTCCACTAGTATATATATTTGATTACAAGTGAAGCCTTTTCTCAAGGAAAGTGTGAAACCCCTTAAGTAATAGAAAGCCTAACTCTTAAACATCGATGCACCTTTTGGTGTAATGGTTGTAATTTTTATAAGAAATTATGCAGTTAAGCGTGCTCATCCCAGAGCAATTCTGGGATGGGTGGCCTACTAGGAAGTTACACCAACATGGAAAAATCGTGAGGGCCTTATGCCAAAGCGGATAATATCTCGATAGTTAAGAGTTTAGGTCATTACAAATGGTATCAGAACAATACAACAGTCGAAAAATGGGAGCTAAGTGCAATACAAAGCAAAGTGCTACATCATGGGAGTCACCTCTTGAATCCTATATGGGATAAAGTGCTACATCGGAGCCACCTTTTGAGCTTGTAGGGGCCACCTCTAGAGTCCTATCTGCCTGGTGGATAATGGGATACAGATGCTGACGAGGATGTCAATTACTTAAATGGGAGAGATTGTGAAACCCCTTAAGTAATAGAAAGCCTAACTCTTAAATATTGAGGTGCCTTTTGATATAATGGTTGGAATTTTCGTAAGAAACTCCGCAGTTAAGCGTGCTCATTCTAGAGCAATTATGGGATGGGTGACCTACTGTGAAGTTACACTTGTCACGACCCAACCTGACCGGAACAAATCCCTTCGCATCGGGCCGCGACAAAGAAAACATCCACAATCTAGCTTTGGAATTTGCTTCAGACTTTTTTCCAAATATCAAACTTACAGAAAACACAGAGCTACTATAAACATCAAATATACAAAACAGTTCATATATATTTTCTTCATTCATCAAAATAATCATGTACAATACAATGCATGGCTACAGACAGAAAGAATAAAATAGAAAAGTCATGACTGTACAAAAATCAAAAGTACAAAATACCTAATCATTGATCAGATACTGAACGGATAGTCCAAGACTTATTTCCTTTCCCATAACCTGAAAACCACGCAGATAACAAGGATGAGCTAACATCTCAGCAAGACTACACTAGCCAATCCAAATCTCCAGAAACACACATCAGAAAATACATCAGAAGAGTAGCCGTACAGAATTCAGATAATCATGCAGAAATTGTATAAGCAGACATAATATAGATACTTTCTCAAACAGAAATCAAACCACAAACGGAGTTCATTTCATATAACAGAATCGTACAGAACAAACAAAACAGTACAAATCAGATTTCAAATCAGATAAAATCACATTCCACATATCAGATAACATATATCAGATTCTCGGACCCTGACAGAATCTCAACAGATTCTGGCTCCTTATGCCTCCCTTCCCTGACACAGACGGAATCTCAACGGATTCTGACCCCTTATATCTCCCTTCCCTGACACAGACAAAATATCAACGGATTCTGACCCCTTATGCCTCCCTTGTGCTTACAACACCAGAACTTGTCAGATATACAAAATTTTTAGAACAGAACTTATTTTTAAATTTCCTTAACACAGACATAATCTCTAAGAATTCTGTCCCCTTATAACTCCCTTGTGATAGCATACAAACACATCAAATTATCCAATTCAGAAAATCAGATTAAGTCAGAAAAATCGTCAGCAGCACAACGACAACATACATAAATTACACCGAATTCACAATTTCAGAAGTTTACCAAATTACCACAGATAGTACAAAACATCATTTCAAGACTTTCATTGTAGTGAAGCAAATATTATTGACATCCAGATAATTTGCTATTCGATAAAAAATCTATAGAATTCAAAATACCCGGTGAAAATCTTCCAAAAAATACTCAAAACGTGCAAAAATATTGTCTCAGAAACATATCAAAAGTTACACGGTAAAATATTCACCAATACGAAATAATACCAGATTTTGGTTATCGGAAACGAAAGTTGAAACAGAAAAGTCATCAAAATCAACGTTTCTGAAAATAGAGAAAGGCATAATGTGCCTTACCTCAAGTCGATCAACTTTTCCAACTACGACGACGGACGAAAACGGACCGAAGTCGTCCAAAATCCACTTTTTCTCCTTTTTCCTTCGTTTTTCTCTCTCATGGGATTTCTCTCTCTTCAAAAATATCTCAATCCAATATATACACATGCAGATCGTACCGGACGAAGTGTATTCATCCCGGGACGATTTGCTATCTAGACGAATTTCATCTTCAAACGAAGTGTATTCGTTTATGGACGACTTGCTCTATGGACAAATTTCGTACGGACGATCCAAATTTCATCCTGGGACGAACCTCACAGTTCACAGATCCTGTACTGATCATCCCAGGATGATTCCACTTCGTCTTGGACGATCCTGGAAGGAAAAACTAAAAACTGGCTTTCACAACACCAACAGGGCAAAACCGTGAGGCCCTTATGCCAAAGCGGGCAATATCTTGATAGTTAAGAGTTTGGGCTGTTATAGTAAGCTATTTATATACTCTAAGAAACACATTAGTTGAATGAGGTTGTCATATCCCTTTACCAGGAATCCAACATAAACTCAAGGGTTGAAGTTGTGAGTCAAATATGATTTCAATGACATGTGTTGACATTGTTAGTAATTATTAATGATGATGTAAATATGCGTCAAAGAAGACATGTTATAATGATCAAAATATTGTAGGTTTGTGGATCGTAGTTGGTGACAACGATCAAAGGATCGTAGTTGGGCAATGAAGTTCAAATGGTCATAGTCGAGCAACAAAGGTCGGAAGACCGTAATTAGGTGACAGTAGTTGAAAGGGACATATGATTAGATGATGGCGATTTGAGGATGGTAGTCGAACAATGATGAAAAAAAGAACCATAATCGATGGGCGATATAAGTCAAAGGACTGTAGTTTAACGAAGATAGTTCGAGGATTGCCGTTGGTTAACGATGGTCGGACGATCATAATCGAGCGATGGAGGTCGAAGGACTATAATTGGGCGATGATAGTTGGAGAATTGTAGTTGACGAGTGATAGAGGTTGAAAGGATTGCAGTCAACGAGCAACAGAGGCTGAAAGGTCCATAATCGATGGGTGATAAGGATTGGAAGGACCATAATGGTTGGTCAATGAATGATCCACGGTGTTGATCGGAACAGTAGCCTAGCAATGGTGGTTGGGATTTTTGGAGCATCATAGCTCTCTTAAGTCTCACGCCAAAGTTCATGCTCCAAGTCCAAGCTTGTACTCCTCCATGTATAGAGTAAGAGAGCTATTTATAGATTTTTTAGAGCGGCATACCCCGTAAATATGGAGAAAGCCTAAAATATTTCATTGGATGATCTATATTATTCTCTTAATCATAAAACATTCGTTCAGCGTTCAGCATTTAAGTGCTTTAATATTGAATGATCTTGGGCTCATAGGTTCGCCTCATCGAGACATTAGATTCAACTTTATACATGTTAAAATTGAAGATCATTTAGTTATTCAAGTAATATCATGAAGTTTCCAATTGCACTTATGGTCATTGATTTGGGTTCATTTGGGCTCGGATCAGATCATTTTTGATGTTGTTGGATTCGTTTTGTCGAAAACTTCAGTTCGATTATAAAGTTGATGAAATCAGAGTTTGTATGGTCCTGAAATTAACTTTAATAACTTTCACTTCAAATATGTCTCAAGATTTGTATCCAATGAATACAATTTTTGATGATGTATAAAAAATAATGATGATTTCAAGAAGAACTTACATTTATACATAGAAAAGGAAAAAAAATTCAAGGTGAACAATTAAAAAAAAATTGCTTTGTATATTCATTGCAATTAAATAAAAAATTCCATGCAGCTTGCATGCTATGATTTAGCAGAGTAATGCATATTTGAGATCAACAGCTACAATGAAGTAACAATATAATGAATTAAAACCTTATATAAGTTTCGAAATGAGCTTTATTTTATGGTTGTTGAATGGCGCTCGAATGGATGGTTGGAGAGTTGGAGGATACAAAGAAGTAGCGAGCTGTTTCTCGATCCAATGTGCGCTCGAATATCCGGTATCCCTCCCATCTCATTTCAACACAAAAAAATTTCGCCCAAAATAAAATTTTGAACGTTTTTTGCTCAAACCAAAGTATAACGTCTAATTTAAATATATATATATGAGCGATTGTCAAATGATTCAAACTGCGTGGTTGGATTTTCTTTCCACCAAATCATTTTTTTTATTCCGGTGAAGAACCAGCTTGCTTGCACCAGCTGCTGCATTTCGGCATTTCCCACTACTCTCTCCCTCTCTGTCTCTCGTCAAACATTGCTCTCCGCTTCCGCTTTCGACGTCGGCGATGATGCGCTGCGACGCCTAACTCTTCTCTAAAACCATACTGTAACGCTCATCCCCAAAACCCAAACCTAATGGCGGCCGTCTACTTCGCTGCTCTGGGGCAAGCTCCCGAGAAAAAGGCGGCGCTTTTCTCAACTCGACCCTCGGCGACACGCGGAATCAGAGGGTTTCGTTTCAGATCCTCGAATTTGATCTCTCGAGCGGCTGTCGGTTCCGCAGCGAAACCCCCGGGTTAGATTTATTCCTTCCTTGACTGCATCTTTGTTGTTGCTGTTGCGGTGATCATACTCTCCTCATCTCCAGCTTTTCATTTTTATCTTATTTCATATGCTTGTAATGCATAATAGTTGTTGCTAGTCGTGTTATTTGCAAATTACTAACTTTGTGAGGGTGTGCAGGCGAAGTATGCCCTGTTCGGGTGCTCCATTGACAATGGATTTATGTTAATGAATTTACAATGAAAAGCTTCTCAGATCTGGTAACTTCACCTTCTAAGGAATAAGTGCTTGTTTGGATTGGATTAATTAATTAGTGTTTATAGTCTTCCATTTAACAAAATAAGCTAATTTTAGACGCTTTTCTTAGCCCTTTGCTTGTTCAATGATCTATAGAATTTGCACTTCTTGTTTCTAATATTTGCAAGAGTTATTAGTGCAGGCACATAAGAATAACCCAATATACCAAGGCATTGTTATCAAAGTAAGATTTTCTCAACCGAGAAGGATAAATGCTTTATCAAAAATCGGATCAGAGACCAAAGAGAGATCGAGAAAATACCATGAAGATGAAGTATATAAATTCTTATGTAACCATCATTAAAATATAACAATTATACCAAATAATGCCCGGTAAAAACATGGAGAATGAGAATGTAAATTTGTTACTACATCTAGCAGCACCTTAGCAGATAAACTCCTACTTCCCTTGATCAAAAAGTCTTTGTTTTACCAGTAATTTTTTGGGAACTCAAAGGGAATTAATCCAAACTAAAACTTACTTTTGGGATTAGATTGATTGAGCAAGTTGATGAACAGGGATCAGAGTGGTAGATTCTTTAGTTTCTTGGAGCTTAAGAATTGAGTGAAAAAAATATTTCTTGAATTCTTAGTCTGATGTGATGGTCAAGGGATAGAACTTTGAGAACCATCGGAGCATGATGTCCTTCAACATGGTGATGAGGATTCATCAACTAATTGTGTCAAAGTCTACGGAAATGACCATCAAAGACTTGACTACCAAGTCTTCTTGTGGGTTAGTCAAACCCTTAGGAGTCCAATTTTAGAATTTTAAACTTTGAAGGAAGTGTTTCTTCATTGGAATTACACATGAGGTAGATCTATATGATTCATTTATGTTCTTTTGTTTAGATAACTAAATAAATTTGAAGAAAATTTTAAAGGTTCAACAAACATATAAATGAACAACTTGAATATACTCATTTGTGGTTTAACTTATATATTCTAATTTAATGATGATTTAATTCTTCTTTATAACTTATTTTATGTTATCATCTGATTGTTGTATATTTTGTGCACTTCAAGCTACTTATATTGATCAAATAACTAGATGAATAAATTAATAATCTAATTTTATTTTTTATCAACATTTGATAATAAAATATTAAGAGTACAATATTGTTAGATTAAAAATCTAATTTAATAATAAATTCCAAAAAATAGCCAGATGAATAAATTAAAGATCTTTTTTTGTTTTTGTTTTTCATAAAACATTACAAATAATGTTGAACGAATTATGAAGAATTCTTATAGAAAAATATGAATTCACTTATTGTTAATAATAAGTTTTATTGTTAAATCGTAGCATTTTATATATAATTAGTTAGACTCGATTAAAATTTGATTATGGTTAAAACTTGATAAGAAAATTAATAAATAAGTTTTGAACAAGATTTTAAAATTATGAACGTGTTCAAATGAATGAGATTGGGTAATGTCATATTCGATTCAACTCGGTTCATTTATAGACTTATCATCAACTTAGAGTATATTAGTAGTAATTGTGGGTTGATCATTTTGCAATTAAATTAATTTAGGTGATGAGGTAGGTGAGTTTATAGATATATTTTGGATCATGCAAAATTTCTTGGGTCCATTTTATGAGTAGTTTGCATTTGTACTCCATCTTAGCATCTTGTGCCTTGACTTGGTTTAACTTATTTGATCTCATTAAGATTATTGGGGAAGTAAAACACACAACGAACACAAGCAAGAAAGAGAACATGCTGTAGAAAGAAAAAACACCAAAATTTAATATGGAAAAACTCAAAACTGTGGAAAAAATTACGGAGCCACATCACATCAATAAATTCACTATGAAAATTTGTAATGATTAGTACAAATTTCTCTTATATCTCCTTGTCTCTCTTCACTCTAGCATCATTCTCTCACTAGAACAACAAAAAAGATACACATTAAAAATACAAATGGACGCAACTCTTAATGAACAACAAGAAAGAAAATTGCCCAACCCCCCTTGCAGCACTGCGGCGCCAGGTTTAGAGCGCCGCTTTGCTCAACTCTCTGTCTCCTGTCTACCTAGCAGCGCAGCACTGGGATTTGGAGAGCTGTAGCACTCCGCTCTCTATCTTCATGCAAACTATATAGTGTTGTTGCTCTCGGGTACACAACTATGTACGGTTGTATGGAAAATTTTCATATGCAAAGTACCGGAACCCAACCAGGGGGAGGACCCCCGCAACCACTCAGCTAGCTCGATATAATGAATTGAGATCCGAGGCAACAATACAACTCGATTGATCAAAACAATCAAATTTCACACAGAACTACTAAAGAATACACCTATGGCACTACACTTGGCTTCTTTTATTGCATGGTGATGGGGAGTAGTTGCTATTGATTCTAGCCTAATTGGCCAAGGCGAGTGTTCAGGTCAGCCTCAAATCTCTATTTGCTAAAGTGGCTAAGAATTTGGCTTTGGTCAGCCACTTGGTTGTAGCTGTTTTGGGATTAGTCGTTCATTTTTGTCCGAATGATTTTTTTTAATGTACATGCTCGGTAGTTTTTATCAACAAGATAGAATTTGCTACCTCTGTTGGTGTTTGTTACACGAATGGCTATGACTTTCTGTTGGGATGGGTTGATTTTTGCCACTCTCAAATGAGGACTGATGGGGCACTGTGCATCATTATACCTCCCTTTTGCAGAACTCATTAGATTTTCTGCTGTAAAAGTTTTAATGCCCCGGAGAACCACAGTAACTCTTTACATCATGAAAGGTTGCTTGAAATGCGTTTAGTTAGTTAATTGAATGACTTGAACTTGTCATGTCTCAACAAGTTAGAGTTTCTTCTGGCTGTACTGATTTATTGGCATATAGTATTATGAACTTACTCTCTTAGAGGCTGATTATGTTCTAGAAAGCTTACGTAGAATCATCCGATTTGTTAGATATGGAATTGATAATTTTATACTTGCTATTTTGATCATTCCTTTTCCATTGATGTTCATGATCCAGTCATCTCACAGTTCTAAACGCAAATTGTTACAATCACTGAATGTAGATGAATGACATTACACTACAAGAAAATTCGACATTTCCGGCAGATTTTTTCGTCAAAGATTGGGCGATTTACTACAGAAAAAATCCCTCCGGTAAATCACGCATAGGAAAATTTATTCTGTTGGATTTTTCCATCAGAAAATTTTCCAACAGAATACCAATAGATCAAGACCAGAAAATAGTGACAGCAGAAGCGACGAAATAGAGTTGAATCGCCGTAGGAATCCATCAGAAATCTCTGGTGGCATTTCTAGCCCCACCTTCCCATTGCTCTTGCCTGTCGATGCCATATCGAAGATTTTCAGCAATAATTTCACCAGAAATCCGTCGGAAACCTGCTGCATCCTCAAAAAAAATTTGCAGCCCTTCATCATTTTAATGAAACAATTTACACAATACAGCCTACAAAAATTTATGCAAATATATTATAAAAAACATTCAAATATGTTAAAACAATGCTAATAATAATATAGAAGAAACTATTCAAACATAAAGTTGACATACATTCAAATATGATCGTTGTAAAAATAAATTGTTCAATTCACAAATATAAATCTCACAAGAATTTCTTCCTTACAAACATTCAAAATATGTTCTCCAAACATGTTTAACAACTTAAACAAAAAGGTTAATAACATTTTTCAATAGATATAAAAATTTAATCTAATCATCTTCATTCTCTTCGCTCCCCTCAAACTTAGGCTTAGGCTCAGGTTGCTTATACTTCTTCTTTCGATTTTGCTTCATGTATGATCGTAGCTCTGCCTGTATCTCCTATTGTTGCTTCAGCATTTCAGGCTGTTGTGTCGGTATGTTTACCTGTATTTGTCTCATCTCCTTTATCTCCTTCGTAAGAGCAGCTACGTTTTGGCTAATAGTGTAGGCTCTCGACCAAGTACATCTTTTTGCAAGAAAATATAGTTAAAATAATAAACATATATGTGTAATAAGAGGAATCATTTACCCATCATCGTCTATGCTTCGTGTGAGACATGGAACCACCAATTTGAAGAGAGCTCCCTAAACCTTCATAGTGTGATGCTCTATTTTGTTTATTCAGCTCTCTCTCTTCTTAGTGAACTCAGGGATGACCTAAGCTGTGATGCCTCAAAATCTAATTTAGAAGAATTATTCTTTTATCTTTTAATAAACAATACCTAAGCTATCTAACTTCATTTATTAGAAATAAACAATAAAAATAATTCTATAATTTAAAACATCTATATGTAAATTTGTATTCATTTTTTAAAAAATCATATACACTACTCAGGATTTATACAATCGTATCACAATTACTGTCTAAAATAAAAAAAAGCTGAACCTGAAGGAATCCTGATTAGCCTCGCACTCCTACTGATGTAAAACTAAATGCTTTAAATGGATGAAATAAGAATATTGCACGTTTCGTTGATTAGAGCAATAGAGATTAAACCATTAGCAATTGAAATAAAAAAAATAAAACAAGAGAAGGGTGCCTACGCTTAGCTAAGCCACTTACTAATCACTTGAAGAATCACAATAACTTAGAAATTCAACAACATACCAAGTAAATAGTTTTCAACAATATCCCTAATCTAACAATAAGATTAGAAGCAAATAAAGTGCACTCAAACCCTACGTTTACTAAGCTCGGCAGAGTTCGATGAACTAGATCTTCATGAATCTATCAAATCACAAGAACAAGTTAGACA